AGATGGAAGCAAATAGTGGGTGTTGTTTCTATGCAGTTTCCGGCCCTAGTTCTTTTCCTGCATAAAGGTCACATTGAGTTCTCTTCTATGAGCAAATACTGTACTTAGCATTCCGTTAAGAGGATCTAAGTGTGTGTGTGAAGCTAGTCAATGTCCATTAACTTTGCCAGGGTAAGAAGATGACTTTGTGGGCATCTATCTCATCTCCCGGAGGAGAGCTGGGGGCTGGTTTTATACGCTAGGCACATATTAAGTACTTAGTGGTTGACTGAAGGAAGCAGAAGAGTTTCTGTGACAAGATTGAGGGGTGTGATGTGTTCAAGGAACAAAATAGAAAATAGATTCTGTTGACAGCCAAGGAAAACACCATCACCCCCGTCCCTGCAGGCAAAAATTAGCACTTTCCCCTGACTGGCGGGAAGCCACCCTGCCCCTCACTAGGGCTGCCTCTATCTGAGGGACCTGCCAGCTGCTCTGCCATTTGTTAGCTGTCATATCCAGCTAGAGCGAAGGGTCTAACTTTCCAGAACCTCAATTATGCCACTAGTAAAATTGGGCTAATACAAATGTCTATCATTAAGGAGAGTATGAAAATAAATGAGAAAGTATCTATAAAATACCTGTATGGTGCCTGTACCATTGAGACGTAATTAACATAACATGAGATTAACAGGAATTGAGAATGACTAACTCAATAGAGTGACTCATTTTTCATCCATTGATGGTTGACTTCACATCCCTTTAATCTTGAGTGAGCAGGTAACTGGACACTCCATTGTCTAAAGGAATGACTTGGTGTGTTGGTTTTCTTTGATTTGAGAGTTAGAACTGTTACTATCAGATAGAATGTGCTTGAGTGTCGGGGGCCAACCGTTCCTGGGCCATTCAGGTTCTGCCAATGGCAGAAGTCCCCTAATGGGTAATCTCTGGGTAGGGTGTTAGATAAGAATGAAATCATTGTAAAGGTCATGGAGAGGCCTGAGAGTGATCACCACTAATGGGTAATCTATGGGTAGGGTGTTAGATAAGAATGAAATCATTGTAAAGGTCATGGAGAGGCCTGAGAGTGAGGATGGGGCTCCAGGGAAATGCCCTGGCCCAGGCAAGGACTCAGAAGAGGTGAGGTAAGGATCGATGGCAGTTGCCACGACTAAACCAGGTGTAAGAGGAATGGTATCTAGACAGGTTGTCTGCTATAGCTGGGAGCTGGGCAGATGGCACTGGAGGGCTCCATTCAAGCAAACAACCTTCTGATGAAGGGTGACTTGTTAGTAATGATAACAAATGTGCTTTCTTTTCTTTTCTTTCTCTCTTTCTATCTCTTTCTCCTTTCCTTCCTTTCTCTCTTTCTTTTCTCTTTTTCTCTCTTTCTTTTCTTTCTTTCTTTCCTTCTTTCTTCCTTTCTTGAGATGGATTCTTGCTCTGTTGTCCAGGCTGGAGCACAGTGGTGCGGTTTCAGCTCAATGCAGCTTCTGCCTCCCAGGTTCAAGTAATTCTCCTGCCTTGGCGTCCTGAGTAGCTGGAACTACAGGCATGCACCACCATGTCCAGCTAATTTTTTTGTATTTTTAGTAGAGGTGGGGTTTTACCATGTTGGCCAGGCTGGTCTTGAACTCCTGACCTCAGGTGATCCATCCACATTGGCCTCCCAAAGTGCTGCGATTACAGGCATGAGCCGCTGCACCTGACCAGCAAATGTTTTCTGACAGATGAAGATGGTGGAAAGACCACCAGTCACATGGAGGGTCATTTGATAAGTCTTGGCCACTTTGGAAGCACCTTCTAGAATAGAATCAGTGACTCGGGAAGCCAGCATTTGAGCCAATTTTCCATGCGGAAAATATGCAAATGCCAAAGAGGAGAAACCTGGTTTTTGATGCCTTCCTGTCTCCCTCACTCCCCATATCCAACACTCCCTGACGTTTTAGACTCGCCCCAGGAACTCACATGGCCCTCCCTGTACAGTGTCCATTCCAGGAGGGCGGCTTTCACCTTATGAAGTATTGCATACTGAAGTATGAACGACCTGAATGCCTCACTGTTCCCCAGGAGTGATTTGCATCTTTAAGAGAAGTGTGTTAATCCAGCTGGACTTTGACTGGAGAATGGAGTCTTCCCAACTGGGAGGGGTCTTCAGCAGGATAGTTTCCTTCTTTATGCTGCAGCCTCATCATGGGAACACTCAGACAGAACTTGCTCACCCTCCTACCACCAAATCTACCAGCCTCCCTGCACCTGTAGCCACACCCCATTACAGTGGATGGACAGCCCTGGGGTCTCTAGGGCCTGTCCTCCCATAGCACCCTACTCCCAGCTCCATTTGCCCTATGAGGACATCATTTCTGCCTCATTCTGTCTTGGTTCGTTGTCATCATCACAAACAGTGTAAAAACATTTTTAAATCATCATACACATATTTTGGAAAAAAGGGCGTCAACGCCTCTTGACCCCCTTTAGCTAGTATAGTCCCCTTGCTCTCTCCCCTTTCCAGCAAACTCTGTCTGCGTCCTCTTGTCCCATCAGCTCTTGAACTCACTCCTTTCAGGCTCTATCCTCACCACTCCACTGCAATCACTCATGGCAAAGTCACCTCCATGTGGCCACATCCCATGACCATCTCTCTGCCCTCAGCTCCCTGGTTGAACATGTCAGCAGCATTTGAATAGCTGACCTCCTTTGCTTTCAAGAAACACATTTCTTGCTTGGACTCTGGGAAATGCTTTTTCTTGGTTCTCTTCCTGTCTTCCTGGCCAAATTTTCCTCCTCCTCCCTTACTGATTGCTCCTAACTTCCTTCATCACTAAGCACTGGAGTGCCTCAGGGTTCAGTCCCAGATGCCTTTCCTGTCTTCCTGCACTTCCTTAGTGATCCTCAATATCCTCCTACCTTAAATTATGGAAAGCTGGGCACTCCCAAAGTTGTCTCTCCATTCTGCGCCTGTCTAGCACTCTAGACTCACATAACTGGCTTCTTGCCACCTCCATCAGGGTGACTAAGGAGCATCTCAAACTTTACAAGTCCTAAAACAAACTCTTAATCTGCCCCCGGAGACCTTCTCCTTCGTTAGTTGTTGTCATTTCAGTAAATGATGATTCCATTCTCAGGCCAAATCCTTCCATCTATTCCTGACTCCTCTTTTCCTCTAACACGCTAAATCTAGCCTGCAATCAAATCCCATTGGCCCTGCCTTCTAGATACATTGCAATTTGTACCACTTCTCACCACTTCCACCGTTATCACCTGTGTCTAAGCCATCAGCCTTCATCTAGACTATCAAAGTCAACTCTTGCATGATTTCCCTGCTTCCATTCTTGTTTCCCATCCCACTCCTATCTGTTCACCTCACATCAACCAGAATGATCTTTTAAAAATGTATGCCAGGCCAGGCATGGTGGCTCAGGCCTGTAATCCCAGCACTTTGGGAGGCCGAGGTTGGCAGATCACCTGAGGTCAGAAGTTCAAGACCAGCCTGGCCAACATGATGAAACCCCATCTCTACTAAAAATACAAAATTAGCTGGGTATGATGGTGCACACCTGTAATCCAAGCTACTTGGGAGGCTGAGGCAGGAGAATTGCTTGAACCTGGCAGGCAGAGTTTGCAATGAGCCAAGATTGAGCCACTGCACTCCAGCCTGGGCAACAGCGAGATTCTGTCTCAGAAAAAAAAAAAAAAGGTATGTCATATATATTTCATCTGCTTAAATCTCGCTAAGAGATTTTCACTTCATTCAGAGCAAAATACAAAATCCTAAATAAGGGCTATATTGCTCCAAGCAATCTGAGACCCCTCACTGTTCCACCTCATCTCTCCTCCTCACTCACTCCCCTCCCACTACACCAGCTTCCTTGCTGTTCCTTGCGATGGACTAAGCTGACTCCTGCCTCCCTGCCTGACCCTTGCTGACCCTCTGCATGGAAAGTTCTCACCAGTGGCATCCATATGACTCTCTGTGTCAAGCCACTATTCTGCATGACAAACAGCCCCAAAACTCAGTGCTTAAAACAGTAACAATTTCTATTTTACTCTTGAGTCTTCAATTTGAGCAGGGATCTGCAGGGGTAGCTCAGCCCTGCACCCCTTGGTGTCAGCTGAAACAGCTAGATGGCTGTGTTCACTCACTCTCATGTCTGGGAGTTGAAGTTGCTGTCCAAAGGACCTCAGTTGGTGAACCGAACACCGACACCTGTTCTTTCCATGTGGCTGCTTACCTTCCTTCAGGATGTTGATGGGCTGCCAGGGTGAGCATCGCAAGGGACCAGGTGAAGTGAATGGCCTCTTATGAGTTGGCCTCAGAACCACATAGTGTCCCTTATACTGGAGTCACAGGTGCTTCCAGGCTCGAAGGGAAGGAACACAGACCCCAACTCCTGATGGAGGAGTGTCAAAATCATGTGGTAAGAGTATGTGTGATGAAAGGCACATACTAGTGTGGCCACATTCTTTTCCTTACCTTGTTTCCATAAAATTATATGAAATGAACTCCTGTGAGAATATGGTCCATCTCTTTACCTTGATATAATCTTATTCTTTAAATTCATAAAATTCTTTACCACATACAAATGTTTCATAAATACTTGTTAAATAAGTGAATAAATCATCATCACAACCAAAAAGATAGCTGGTAATGTTTAATGAGAGTTTTCCATGTGCCAGAGACTAATAAAAATATTTACACAGAGTATCTCCATTAATTTGCCCAATAATTCAAGGAAATAAGTATTAGAGCTCCTATTTTATTGATGAGAAAACTGAGGCTCAGACAAGTTGGCAACTTCACGATGCTGCGGGGTGGAGTTAGGTGGGGCAAGGCACATGTGTTTGTCTTCACCACAGTCTTGGAGGAGAAGCTGGTTTCCAGGGTGAAGGTGGCCAAGGTGGCTCTAGCTGTGGCTGGAGGCACAAGGACAGTCCTGGGCGTTCCCTCAGTGGTCCTGTGGGCAGTGGTGGTTATGTCTGTGTCCTTCACTTTTCCCTCCCACTGACGACTTTCTTTCCAGTTAGGGTGACTGTGGATGCCATCTCTGTGGAAACTCCGCAGGATGTTCTTCGGGCTGCTAGGGGAACGAGTGTCACCCTGCCCTGCACCTACCACACTTCCGTCTCCAGTCGAGAGGGATTTATTCAATGGGATAAGCTTCTCTTCAGTCATACGGTAAGGATGCTTTACAAGTTCTGGCATCATGGGAATGATTATCACCTGACCGGGTCCTCTTAGAAGGCAAGCACTATGCAGTATTGCCATAAATGACATAATAAACACTAGCACCCAGGCTGGGGTGGGTGGGGAGGGAGTGGTGAGTGTTGGACTCATGGAGAGCCAGATTGTGTCACCTTGATTTTGAAAATGTCACCTGCCCTAAAGTATCTTTCTGGTGGCCAATCTCAAATGACCTAAATTGTATCATGTGAATCAGTCACTCCTTTTGTTTGTTCTGTTTTGTTTCGTTTGTTTTGGTTTTAGACGGAGTCTCACTCTGTCACCCAGGCTGGAGTACAGTGGTGCAATCTCGGCTCACTGCAGCTTCTGCCTTCCGGGTTTAAGCAGTTCTTCTCCTGCCTCAGCCTCCCAAGTAGCTGGGACTACAGGTGTATGCCGCCACGCCCGGCTAATTTTTTTTGTATTTTTAGTAGGGAAGGGGTTTCACTATGTTGGCCAGGATGATCTTGATCTCCTGACCTTGTGATCCACCCGCTTCGGCCTCACAAAGCGCTGGGATTACAGGCGTGAGCCACCGCAATTGGCCGGGAGTCAATCACTCCTTTTGATTAGCATAACCCTTGCTCTGAGGCCAAATTTTGTTTTACAGGTTTTTCTTTTCCTGTTTGGATTCTTTTGGGGAGTATGGAGGAGTTTTGTTTTATTTTCTATTTTAAAATAGATAATATAATCTCATGGTTTGAAAATCAAAACATCATAAAAAGTCTACATGGAGAAGGTTCATTCCCATCCCTGCTTCTCCTGTCCCACCTACCCTGTTCCCACACCCACATCCTCCATCCCCCTCACTCTCCTCCACCCCCAGGCAGTGCATATACAAACATGGATATATGTTTTTATAGATGCATTTGCATATATGAGTACGTATGTTTACATATGCTACACGCGTGCTGTTCTGCATTTGACTGTTAACGATATATCTTGGGCTCTGTGTGCATGAGTATATTCATCTCATTTTCAACATTTGCGTAAGGCGTTTCAGTTTATGAAGGTACTATATGTACCATGAATGGACATTTGGTTTGTTTCTTATATTTTGCTGCTACAAATAATGCTGGATAAATATAATTACCCTTATATGTATGTCTCTAGACATATGTATATATGAGAGAGATTATTAAAAGTAAAACCCTGGGTCAAAGGGTATGTGAATTAAACATTGATAAGTAAGATCAAATTCTTCTCATTAAATGCCTACCGATCTTTATTTTCACCACCAACAGTGAGGGCGCCTATTTCTCCAACACAGAGCATTCTCAAACTGTTTGCTATTTGCCAGTCTGATAAGTGAAAATCATCTCATTCGTCATCAAATTCACATTTGTTTAATTATAAGAAGTGGAATATCTATTCATAAGTTTAAAAGTGAGGTCTCCTTTTAAAATGCAAATGTGCCTGGCAGAGGTAAGCATTAGGTCCTCAACCTCTCAGAGTGGAAAGGACTTAGCTTTTTCCCTGATGGGAAAGAAGGGATGGCCTAAACACCCAAGACCTTGAGCGGCAGGACTGATGGAGAAGGAAAGCGAGTCTTGTTCAGACTCACCAAGGGACCCTGATGGACCCTGATGACCCTGTCCCGACTGCTCCCAGAGTGCTGGGATAAAGTCGCAGAGAGGAGGGCTGCCGCCTTTAGCTTGTAGGAGTAAAAGGACACCTTCTTTGGCCATCACATGTATTTAGCAGGCCAGGCATGAGGTCAATGCCTGACAGTTTTCTGGGTGTTGAGGTAGATACTAAAGTTATTTTATTGACTGCTGGATTCCTTACTTTCACAAGGATTTCAGGCAATTCCCTTGAGACCCTGCAAGAGTACAGAGAAAGGGATTAAATCCAGTCCCTTAAAGAGATTATTGTGACAGGTCCTAGCAGGTCTTGTCTTTGGGGGAGATTCAGGGAGATAGCCTTAGGATATCTTTGATGGGAGGAAGGTTAATGGGTGGAGAGTCCTGGGCAGAGCCACTCAGGGTCAGAAAAAGCCGAGCTGGGGAAGACCAGTATCCATGGACTGATCCGCAGCCCGAGACACTTTTGCATCTCCCATCTGTTTCCCCCTTGCTTCTCAGCTAAGCTTCCTGAAAGAGCTGTCTGCCTCCACCAGGTCTGTTGCCTGTGGTTGGGCAGATTGCTCCCTGCACAAGGGTATGTGCTTCATTAGCCAAGTTATGTATCCCAGCACAGGCTGTAGACCCCTTTATGCTAATTTGCACAAAGTGCACTGCAGGCACAGATGTCAGACGTGACAGTGGATTCCCACATTCTCTCTGCCCATCATGGTCTTGATTCTTTACCTAACGCTCTGCAAAAGTCACCAGCACAACCTCTTTTTTTTTTTTTTTTGCTCCATTCAGTACACTTCATTCAGTCATCTTATTTCATCTCTGATTAGCAGTTCACACTGGCAGCCACTTTCCAACCTTGGAGTCTTGTTGTCTTGACTTTCTGGCAGTCTTGCCTTGGCTTTTCCTCTTATTTCTCTGACCTCTCCTTGACACTTCGAATGAAGTAACTTGGAGACTTGCCATTTCTCTACTTATTTATCCCGGTGGCTTCAACGAGCCCACGTCTCAGTGAACATCGACATGATGTTGGCTCCCTAACGTTCATCCCAGTTGCACTAAACTGACCCGTCTGGCTCTTACTGACTCCTCCACCTAGATGAATCTCCCACCGACGCTCCAGACACCCCACCCGTAAAGAGACACATCGTTTATTCATAAAACATTCCCTTCCTTTGTGCTTCCTCTTTTGGAAATGACATCACCTAATATCCAAGCCAAAAACCTCTCTGGAGGTCTGCCATTCCCTAACTCTGTCCACCAGATCCACTCCTGTCTCATTGGTGCTCCCCCTTCATACTCCTCAATTTCTTAACGGGTGCCTTTTCTCCTTCCAATTCATTTTCCATCCCAAGTTGAGAGCTGGCTTCCTAAATACACAGCTCTCTAGTGCTTCAGGGTAAATGCAAAGTGTTTAGTCCCATATACACGGTGTCTGAGACCTGGCATTGTAGAATCTCTGGACTTCAGACTCTGGAGCCAGAATGCTGGGTTTGAACCTCAGCCCTGTCATTTACTTAAACATGTGGACTTGGGGGAGGCATTTAATTTCTTGGTGCTTTGGCTTCCTCATTTGTAAAGTGAGTATAATCATATACCTACTTCAGGGGTGTTGCGAAGATTCAGTGAGATAATGCATACCAAGGGCATAGACTAAGACCCAGCACATAGCATATGTTCACTAAATAACAGCTCTGATCTGAAGCGCTACCTGCCTAACCTCACCCTCTCACCAGCCCCTCACTCACCCACTTACCTCTATTCACACCGAACCACTGGAGTCAGTAAGTTGCTTCCCACGTCTAGGTCTTTCCCTGCAGCTCTCGCTTTGCCCGAAATGCCCAACACCTTTATCCTACTCCAACACTTACTCTGTCAATACCCCCAGCCCCTTGCCTGGAGAATTCTTAGTTGTTTTTAGGATTCAAGGCAACTGTCACCTCTTCTAGGAAGTCTCCCCTGACTTCCCAGTCTGGAAGTGACACTTTCTTCAGGAGTCCTATAGATCATGGTAAGATGTTGTAACATTTGGTTGTCTATCACTTCCATTACTCTTTGGGGGCGGAATTCATGAATTACCATCTTTGAATGTCAGACACCTGGCAGATGCTCAGTTAGAAAAATGGCTAGCACTTCTAGAAACTTACCGTGTCAGGCAATGCCCGAGCTGCTTTGTGTATATGACTACGTTAATTCTCACTGCAGTCCTATGAGGCAGGCATTATTATCATCATTTCCATTCTGTAGCATAGTTAACAGAGTCACAGATCGAGCATTTTGCTCAAGGTCGTACAATTAGTCCATGGCAGAATGGGGATCTGAATTGAAGCTGTCCAGCTTGAAAGTCTGTGATTTTAGCCATTACCACATACAATTTGATAAATGATGAGTTTCTCCATCAATCAGTAAATTCCAAAGGCAAGAGTCAAGTAAATAAAGTGAATTTGGCAGCCAAGGCTGGCTGCCCAGCGTGATGGCTGGTGCATGGAAGGTGCTCGGTAAATACTGGGAGACTGAATGAGTGAGAATAGGCTATGGATAAAATGGAATGGATAAGAGATACTGCAGATTACAAGAGGTGAAAGTGTAGGCATCCCAGATGGACCCATTTACCCACATATGTTCTATAGTATGAACTGCCTAATTTCTTTCAATATTTTCATTTAAAAATAATTTTAAAATATATATATAATAAAAGAATACATGCTACTCATTTGTGGATTTCTTTTATTATAGAATACATTTTATCATATAATATGCATTGTATATAATTATCATATAATATATATTATATATTATTCTATTATACACAATACATATTATATACACTTTTATATAATATATATAATATATACACGAAACCTACCAATGGGTAGCATGTATTCGAGCTGCTTGTTCTGAGAGGTTGGTGTCTGTGCTTCTGGGCCCTGGGAAGTAGGGGATGCGGGCAGTCACGGCAGGCTGGAAGCACCAGGCAAGGGCCTTTGGGTGAAGACCTAGTGCCATTTTTCTTCCCTCCCAGGAAAGAGTGGTCACCTGGCCGTTTTCAAACAAAAACTACATCTATGGTGAGCTTTATAAGGATCGTGTCAACATGTCGGGCAATGCTGAGCAGTCCGACGCCTCCATCACCATTGGTCAGCTGACCATGAAAGACAACGGCACCTACGAGTGCTCCGTTTCGCTGATGTCAGACCTGGACGGCACCTCCAAGTCACGCCTCCGCCTCTTGGTCCTCTGTGAGTGTCTCCATTTCTTTCAGGAGTGTAGGAAGAGGGTGGGCTGGTGGCAGCACAGGGAGGAGAACAGCCCCGGTGATGAGGCGAAGGCAGAGGCAGCAGCAGGAGCTGAGTCACCTCCCCTCGTCCCGCTGTCTCTGGCAGAGGGCCGGTTCCTCCCTTTGGAACTGAACACTAGTGGGCAATTCCCGAGGGCAGAGAAGGCTGATTTGGAGTGGTCCCTTGCTCTGTCGATGTCCTTTTCCCCACACCAACTCCTCTTTTTCATACCATACTTATTACAAAGATAAAGGAAACTCTTAAATCCTGTTGCAAAGACTCATGGTGCCTCTAATTGGGTGCTCAGAGGGCCACATCGCAACTCTCTTACATCTTTCCCTGCCGTAATTTAGCTACCTAGCAGAAATCCTTCACACCACCGTCTGCTCACCCCCACCCCTAAACAGACACTCCATCAATCAGGTGCTACTCCCTTTGAAATGTGTCCCAAGATAACATTCTTTTCATAGAAATAACTTATTATTGGAATTTATAGTTTAGGAAGGATCTGAAAGATCGTGTACTTTAATATCCTCATTTTGTAGGTGAGGCCCGAGAAAGGGAGCAACTGACTCACAGTCAAATAGTTATTGGAAAATAACTGTTATTTAATGAACACAGTCTATGTCCAATATTAGAAATGGCGCCACTGCTGGTAGGTTGCAATGCTTTAAACCAAAACAAGGTTTTATTTCCCTTCTTTCTTTTACATACTTGATTGCATTTTATTTTTAATTAATATGTTCAATTTAAATTTATTTTTAAATTAAATTTAATTAATACTTAAAATATTTTAATTGCATAAGGTGGTTGCCTGACTTTTTGAAAGCATTACTGAGTCAAACTGTACAAACTAGCATTGTATAAAAAATAACTAAGATCTCGGTAGCCAATGGCAACACAGGTAGGTGTTTCATATTTTCCTCATGTCCTTTCAAAATACACAGACTCTTGCATACTTTTCTCTTTTCCTTTAAAAAAAATGAGATTGGCAGGGAGCGGTGGCTCACACCTGTAATCCCAGCACTTTGCAAGGGTGGCAGATCATGAGCTCAGGAGATCGAGACCATCCTGGCTAACATGGTGGAACCCTGTCGCTCCTAAAAAAATACCAAAAATTAGCCGGGCATGGTGGCACGTGCCTATAGTCTAAGCTACTTGGGAGACCGGGGTAGGACAATCACTTGAACCTGGGAGGCATTGCAGTGAGCCGAGATCGGGTCACTGCATTCCAGCCTGGGCGACAGAGCCAGACTCTGTCTCAAAAAAAAAAAAAAAAAAAAAAAAAAAAGGATCATATTGTAAAATCGCTCTGCATTTTTTCTTTTCTAACCATGTTTCATGCACATTTCTCCAGATCGGCACATGTAGATCTACTGATTAACGCGTACCTTCCATCACACGGAGGTGCCATGATTTATTCAAGTATTCCTTCCTGATGAATATTCCGGCTGTTAAATTTTTTTTTTTTTTTTTTTTGTATGAACAATACTACAATAAACATCCCTCTTACACACACGTACCTATGTATGTTAGGGGTCCCTTAAATAGCTCTCGTTTTCTTTGGGCAATGGAAGTATTAATGAAGACTCCCCCGAAATCCTCCACATAGTATTATGTAAATGCTGATCCCCCTGCCTCCCAACCAGGGCCAGAAGGATACAAATTTAATCTGAGATTATGGAACTCCGTGAAACCAATGTTTTAATTTTTAAAAAAAGAAGGGTCAGGTGCAGTGGCTCACGCCTGTAATCCCAGCACTTTAGGGGGCCGAGGCAGAGACCAGCCTGAGCAACATAGCTAGACCTCCTCTCTACAAAAAAATTTAAAAATTGAGGTGGAGGATCACTGCAATTAGCTGTGATCCGGACACTGCCCTCCCAGCTGGGTGACAGTGAGACCCGTCTCAAACAAACAAGCAAGCAAACAAACAAACAAAAAACATAGAAAAGAGAGGGAGAGCTCATTTTTAAATGCATTCTAAGAAATAAGTTTAAATCGTATACATATAAACAGAAATAAAAACATAAACACACGCACACGTTTTCTTTCCTAATGGCTTTGCTAGGCTATTTTAAGGCAGCCGGTCTACTCGGCTACTCGGGCTGGATGACCGCAGTAAACAGAGGCGGGCAGGAAGCTCCGGCCAGGCAGCCCCTCAGCCCGCGCCTCGGGGCAGCGCGCCTGATCTCAATCTCGGCCGGGAAAGCTGGAGCCCTGGGTCCCGAGACCAGGTGCCGCGGATCGGTATCGGCAGTCTCCCCGGCCTCTGGCTCCCCCTGACGTCCGTAGAGGGAGTCGCAGGCTTTGGAGAGGCCTCGGCGCCCGACTAACTGGTTCACTCTCCCCTCCTTCCCCATTACTGCGTCCCCAGCAAATATTCAGGTAACATCTGCCCTATGCTGGGAGGGTATGACTGAGTCTGAGACTCCGAGTCCCCCGGAGGTCTCACGGCCCCCACATGTGTGGAAGGACGATTTGATCTTTTAAAGATCTGTTTGATCGGAGGTCCTAGCTGTTTTTGATGGTGGGAGGCTGAGGAGAGAGACCTTAGTGAGGGATTAACAGAGTGACAGCAGGGGGTTCCTGGGTGTGAGGCCAGAGGGTTTGGGGGCTGAGAACGGACACATTCCACCCTAAGCCTGATCTCTTTGGGGGTGGGTGGTCACTTCTTTGCCGTTATCTGTACTTCTGCCTCTGGAGAGAATAAGGATTTGCTTTTTTTTTTCCCTTAGCAAATGTTGGTTTCGGCAAAGCTATGGCAGTTTTTGGGTGCATTCAGATGCCTTTGAGTGCTCTGTAGACGCCAGTAGGCCTCAGTTACTTTCCTACCCTTTTTGTCTTTTACCCCAAAGAAACCTGGTTATAGAAAGGCTCTACTGTCAGTCAAGCACACTTTGTATGACTTTGGGGACACATGGAACTCCTCGGGTGGGACTGGTGTTTTGCCCACTCTCCGACTGTGAAATAAAGCCTTTGCCTCCTATTCAAGGCATTCCTGGGAAAAGGTTGAATGTTTTTGATGTGTGGAGAGGGATGCTCCCTGTTGGAAATAGATGCTTGGTGCCGCAAAGAAAAATTAGCACTGAGACAAAGGATCTTTCAGCGATGCAATTTTTACTTCCTGGGCTGCAGGAAGGGTACTCTCACTAGCCATCTTGCCATGAGAGCAAGCTGGACTCAGCAACCCCATCCTAGGGGTCCTCTGGGAAGCGGTGTTCACCTTCTGCTTGCTGGCCCAGCATGGGGAGCAAAAAGGCTGCTGGTAAGAGTGGTCCTCAGGCCGCAGCCTCCCCCTCCCCACACTCCTCCAGTCCCAAGGTCTGGTTCAGGATAGATGAGACCTGCTCTTGAACTTTGGGCCTCTTCTGTTTAGGAACAGCCCAAGGGAAAGTGACAATCAGAGAGGGCATCTAATTTCCCTCATGTCGCCCCACACCTGGCCAGCTTTCACTATGGCAGCCAGAGATGTTGTGCACACACAACAATAACCTGCCTGTTTCCAAGAGGAAATACTTGGCTGCCAGGGTAGAGGGGAGTGGTGTGTGGAAGGGTTTCTCTGGGCAACTGCCGGGTGGGGCTGAGAACAGAAGGCATTTCTGATGCTCAGCACCTGGATTATAGAATGGGCGGCACTGTTATTGGGTGAGCAAGCTATCCAAAGGGATGTGAAAAGAAAGAAAGATTCAGAAGGGACAGGCTTGGACCCAGGGATTCCAGGAGCAACCCTCTCCACCGCGTGTCCTCTTCTCACCTCCAAGGACACGACCTGAAGTCTCAAGCATGCTTCATGTTGCTTCTTGCCTCTGAGCCTTTGCACATGCTGTTTGCTCTGCCTGGAGTACCATCACCTCTTTCTCTGACCACCACTCCCACCTCCACCACTGGCCTTTTTTACTGTCATCCTTCCTTCAGGTCACAGCTGATGCTGTGATTGGGGCCGTGTTTGGGTCTTATCTGCCCCAGCAGCCTTGCCTCCTGCCTGGTCATTGTTCATCTATTTGTCTTTTGCCCCCACTAGATTCCCTTATCCAATCACTGTGTCCTCCCAGTGCCCACCACTGTCAGACACACAGTAGGCCCCCAGTGAGATTTGTAGAATGCACCCACTTCACAATGGTGTCTTGACAATGCTGAGTGAAGGGCATAGGCTTAAGCCTCCCAGGATTTCAGGGAATCAGGTTGGGGTGGTGAGATGAGGGTGGCCTGTGTCCTGCCGTTCGGTGTAACCTCTGGTCTGTGGGCTTCCCTCTCCTGAGCTCTGTGCCCTCTGCCTTCTTGGATCCCCTCCGTCCTCGTCACCCTGTACATAACTTTCCTGCTGCCTGTGCTTCCTCCCATGATCCGGCGCTTGTGGGAGCTGCACGTTATCGGCAAAGTGCAGGAAGAGCGTAGTCCTGAACCCAGAGAGAACTTCCCTAGTAAGTTAGCATCGAAGGCTTCAGAGAGCACTTAGTCCAGGGTTAGGCAAACTAGGACCAAATCCAGCCCACAGCCTGTTTTTATATTTCTAACATATCATTTAAAGAGAAAAAGTAGCAGCAACAGAGACAATATGTGGTCTGCAAAGCCTAAAATATTGTCACCTGGCCCTTTTCAGAACACGTTTGTTGTCTACTAATTTTGCAGAACGGAACACTGAGGTCCAGGGAAATTGAAGGTTTTCCCAAAATGGCACAGATGAGTCAGTGGCAGAGGAGCTCCTATGGACTGGTGGAGAGCACACTGGAACTGGAGTTAGAAGATCTGGGCTCTAGTCCCTGTTCTGCCAGGACCCACGAACAAGTGTCCTCTCTGGGCCTCAACATCCCCATCTTTCTAATGGCCACGTTGAGCTATCCTTAAAAGTCCCATGACTGTAAACTAGAACACACATGAAACCATGCCTTGTGAAGCTACTGCAGACCCACGATGCTCCCCAGAGTATGTACCACTCCTCTGTGATGGTGACAGACCACTGAGGGCACACTGGGGTGAATTGGTTTCACAGCGTTCCATCTCACCACTCAGCTACAGAGTTTTCTGCCTGTGAACAAACAAGGCAGTATGTGTTGTGGGGAGGGGGTGGCGGGTGGCTGTCACCAAGCCCCACCTGCCTCATGCCTTCTTTTTGGTCTCTCGTCTACATAGCGCCACCCTCCAAACCAGAATGCGGCATCGAGGGAGAGACCATAATTGGGAACAACATCCAGCTGACCTGCCTATCACAGGAGGGCTCACCAGCCCCTCAGTACAGCTGGAAGAGGTACAACATCCTGAACCAGGAGCAGCCCCTGGCCCAGCCAGGTAAAGGGGCAGCAGGGAAGGCGGGCTCCTCACGTCCAGGTGCAGCGGATTGGCAAGGGGTTGCCAGGGGCGACTCGGGTAACCAATCAGATCCCCCCGAAGGCCGCTTCCCTGCCCCACCCCTATCCCCACCTCTCTAAGCTCTGGTTTCTTATAATAATACCCATCTCATAGGTTCTGGCAAGAAACAAAAATGATTCGTGTCAAGGACGTAGCGGAAGCCGCGGTAACTGTTGACTTGTTTTCTTTGTTCCGCATTCCTCAGTTCTCTTGGATGAGCGTGTAAGCACCCTGTGCGAAAGCATAGGTAGGGTTTTAATTGACTATGTCCTGAAGTATACGTTTGAGACACCAAGTCTAACTCGGCGGCTCCACCCAAAGGTGGGGAATTTAACTTTCCCATATCCAGGCCGGTCCATCTCAGCCTTCAGGGACTCACGTGCTGTAAGGGTCCCACGTTCTCGGGAGAAGCAATGGTAGGGTCAGCTGTAGTTGCCAGGAGACCAGTTTTGTGGTGGGCAACTTGGTATTTGACCTTTCAGTCAGGAAACTAACTGGAAAAAAAAAAAAAAAAGCGTTATATGAAAATCCTACCATCCTTACCCCGGAGCCAACGGGTGCAGAAATACCCTGGTGGAGTCTCAGGGCCCCTGGTGCCCATCCCTGCTCCTGAGGATCAAGAAAAACAAGGCTTGCCCGGTGCGGTGGCTCAGGCCTGTAATCCCAGCACTTTGGGAGGCTGAGGCAGGAAGATCACTTGAGGTCAGGAGTTCAAGACCAGCCTGGGCAACATTGTGAGACCCCATTTCCACACACACACAAAAATTAAAAATTAGCTGGGGATGGCAGGATTCACCCTTTAGTCTTAGCTACTCAGAAGGCTGAGGTGGGAGGATCACTTCAGCCCTGGAGGTGGAGGCTACAGTGAACCATGATCATGCCACTGTACTCCAGCCTTGGTAACAGAGCGAGACTGTGTCTCAAAATAAAATAAAATAATTTCTTTTAAAAGAAAGGCAAGGCCTGAAAGGTGTCCATCAGATTTCACTTCTGGGAGATCTTTCAGTTCAGTGTAGGTGGAAAAAGAGGCCAGAGGTGGAAAGTGAAGCTAGCGGGACACACAGCTCTCCAAGATGAGGTGCCTGGTGGTGGGGGTGGGGGCCATGGGCAGGACATCTGTTGTCCTGGATAAGCCCAGCCGGATGGATGCACATGCCAAGGGTGTACTCACCAGGATGAGCTTTATCATTCCTTTGGAGGCAGAGTGACTTCTTAAAAACAATTAGTAGAATCCACTCGACCTAACTTAAAATACGTTGATGTAATGTAGATTTTCAACAAGCTTTCAGTTTTGTTTACCTATTTCTGGTTGGCAACTTTTTATCGAGTATGTTGGGAATTTTTGTTGAAACCACCTGGCAGCTCTCCCGGGGCTCTGTGGCCTCCTCTCTCTGGCCTGTGAACAGCCTAGCAACTCCAGCCATGGTCATGGTAGGTCTGCTGTGGACACTGGTAGTGTGTGATCTTCTTTCCAGCAAAGTGTGTATAGGGAGACCCAAAGCTGAAGACTACAGGTGGCAAAAGCTACATTAGCTTTATACCCAGTGGCAAGGTAACAGAAGAGGCATAAGAAGATGAAAGAAGGTTTCTCCAAGGAGGGGGTATTGGAGTCAACAGTAGTTAAGAGCACGCCATGGCTTGATTCCTGGCTTGGACTCTTGTTAGCAGTGTGACCTTGGCACGTGTCTTAGCTTCTTTGTGCCTTAGGTTCTAGGTCTGTGAAATGGGCACAATGCTAGTGTTTCCTTCATAGGGTTGTGGAGATTAAATAAAAGTAGATGTAAAGCACTGAAACCAGTGCCTGGTAGGTAGTAAGCACCCACTTAATGCTAAGTATTACTCGCTGTTATTTGAGTCCTCAAGGATGAAGAGGCTTGGCTTGGAGAACAGGAAGGAATCATGACTGTCTGGTGTGGTTAAGGGGTAGGTATAGGAATGGTAGGAGATACTCTTGTTAAGAAACACAGTGAAGAGAAATCATGAAGAGCCTGTGTCACACTAGGGAGGTTGGTCTTTGCCCTATAAGCCATGGGTACCTTGCGAGGAGCCTCACAAATGGACACCCCAGCTGCAGTTCTCTCCTGCCTCCACCGGCAGACTCCTCTGGTGGTTAGAAGCCAAAACTTAGTTATTTCATTATCCAAAAGAAAGAATCCTGAGGACATGGAAGGGGGTTAAAGGAGAATTGCTTCCTTAATTTGTAAAAGGTTTATCCCGTCTCTAGTTAAGATTTGCTGAGTCAGAATGGGGATTGGGGGTGACAGAAAAGAATAGGATTAATGGTCATAACAACACTCCCTTGCAGCTGGATGACATCGTGGGGTGAGGATGGAGTTCTCAAAGTCTTTTGTCTCCACCCTGCTTCTCAGAGCCTTAGAGAATCTGCCAATTCTGGCCAGGTGCAGTGGCTCATGCCTATAATCCCAGCACTTTGGGAGGCTGAGGTGGGTGGATCGCCTGAGTTCAGGAGTTTGAGACCAGCCTGGGCAACATGGTGAAACCCTGTCTCTACAAAAAATACAAAATTAGTGTGGCCTGGTGGTGTATGCCTGTAGTCCCAGCTACTCGGGAGGCTGAGGTGGGAAGATCGCTTGGGTCTGGAAGGCAGAGGTTGCAGTGAGCCGAGATGGTGCCACTCCAGCCACGGCACTAGAGCCAGATCTTGTCTTAAAAACAAAAAACAACGAAACAGAGAGAGGGAGAATTTGCTAATTCTTCCTCCTCTGTGGGTCAGACCAAATTATTTCTGGCTTTTAAAACATTTCAGTCCAACATGGATGATTTGGAGAGGAGGGTACCTCTGCCCTCCTACATCTGAAGACAATTTCCAACATTAGAGATTGGTTCCTTTGATTAAGCCCTCCGTGGGCACAAGCTAGCAGTGAAAAGAACAGGGAATCAGGAATCAGGAAACTAGGATTTGAGTCTGGACTTCCCCACTTTGGAGCCTTGAGTCACTCACAGCCTCTCTGACCCTTAGTGGTTCCCTTTGAAAAAAACTGGGATTCCCCAAAAGCTGTGAAGAGGATGAGAGGAGATCCCATATGTGATAGGCTCTGAAAAGACTTTATAAGTTGTGTCCTAGTAAGCTGAGTTTCATGCACTGAAGAAATAGGAATTTGGATATCACAGAATTGGGGCAGGGTGTAGTTCTGGGGCCTGGAGCACTTGAGGGGAGGAGGTTGTGAAGGCTGGGGACCGGTCCAGGGAGGATCCTGAGGGCCCTGTGTGAGACAGAGGTGGCAGCAGGGGCTTGTCAACAAGCTACGGGATTGGATGAGGGTTGGGGGAATGCAGAAATGTTAAATCTCGTTAATGTGACATTAGTGTCTTGGTGAGACCAGAGGTTCTCTCGAGGGTACTCTTTCCACAGCTGGAGCAGAGGAAGGTGGGAGGCTTATGACCGTCCTGGGCATTTCCCTTCCTGACCACAAGGTGTCGTCACTGCAGCGGAAACAGTGTTCTCTGGATTTCAAAATTTACTAGTCCCTTTCTGAAAAAAAAGGGGCTTGGGATCCGCAACTCGGAATCAAAAAAGGTCCTGTGGCACAAGACCTGCACTGGTTCATCCCGGCAGCTTCCAATGCACACCATTTGCATCAGGGAACTGGGGGAGGAGAGTGCTGACTCATTGGACTAGGAAGTCCCATGTTCCCCCACCCTAAACAAGGCCTGGAGCTCAAAGCTGGACTCTGCCCACTAGAAAGGTCCTCACTGTCTGCACTGTGCTGCCCACACTGAACCCAGAGTCTGAGCTTCACCCTTAAAGTGGTGGGGATCTGTTAAGAGCTCTAGACCTCCTACGCATGCCTAGGCCCATAGAGCATTTCCTAAAGTGTGTTCCTTCAAGATGCCTCTTATTAACAAATGCAGTTAAGCCGTGAATACCATAACCCACTATCAGAGACTTCCGGTGCTCAACAGCATTTTGGGGGTTCTGAAAGTGCTGCCCTTAGAAAGCGTACTTAACCCTAACTCCGTGATTTCTAAACTTGCTTTTTTAGGGACTCCTCCTCCATGCCACATATTAATATCACATGTAAACAATGTGCCAGAAAGCATACTGAGACGTGGAATTCTAGGATAGAAGGGGGCACATTTTATGAAGAATGAGCATCCAGAGAGTAGTGTCCTGGGCTTCAAGGGAAGAATTTTGAAGAAAGTACAAGTGAAAAGACTGAAAGAAAGTAGCACAAAATCAAAGTGTTATTTCTAGGTGATGGAATTATAATGATTTTTTTCTGTTCTCTCTCCTTTGAAGAGGCTTTCCTTGGCCCTTTTGATGAGATTTAAACCCCCTGCCATAAGCTCAGATAGTACCTCCACCTGGAACTGAAACTACCTCTGTCTTCTTTGCGAGACTGGAAACACCAAGAGGAAAGGGACCCTCTTCCTATCCTTTATAATGTCATCAGCAGCTAAAGACTTTCTGTATTGAACTAAATTGAAATAATAGTTTTAAATCATAAATTATTATAATTGGTTTTGTGATACAAATTTTCATTTTTATTTTTTGAGACAGAATCTTGCTCTGTTACCCTGCTGGAGTGCAGTGGTGCAATCTCAGCTCACTGCAACCCCCTCCTCCCGGGTTCAAGTGATTCTCATGCTGAGTAGCTGAGACTAGAGGCACACGCCACCACGCCCGGCTAATTTTTCTGTTTTTAGTAGAGACGGGGTTTCACTATGTTGACCAGGCTGGTCTCAAACTCCTGACTTCAAGTGATCCGCCCACCTCAGCCTCCCAGAGTGTTGGGATTACAGGTGTGAGCCACCGCACCTGGCCACAAATTTTAAAAGAGAATTATCAATGGCTCCAGGGAGTTCTAGACCCCAAACAGGGTTTTTGTTCCTGTTTTATCATTTTTTAAATTTTGTGGCCTTGAGCAGTCACTTAACTTCTTGAAGCCTCCAGTTACCTCTATGAACTGGAGATTGAAGTATTGAGGACTGCTGGAACGATGACAGGACATCACATTTGAGGATGTGTACCCAGCAGCACCTCCACAAAAGGAAGATTTTGAGATGCAATCTTGCAAGAAAGTGACAGTGGGGCAGCAAGAGGGCAGCTCCCCTGGTTTTCCCATAGCTCCAAGTGGCAAAAGAGAAAGCAGGTATGATTGACAGAGCCAGATCTATGACCTGAAGCTTGGACTTGTTACTGAGGATTATGGGCAGCCCCTGAAATGTCTGAACAGAGCAGTGACAGGATCGTATTTACAATTTAGAGTGTCTCCTAGGGATGGCAGTAACCACCTGGTGGCAGCAGGGATCAGGCAAGGCTGGCTCTGCAGCTAAATTAGACGATGCAGGTCTCCACCTCCTCTCTCAAAATAGCTGTTATAACAAAGCATCTTGGATGGCCTGCCATATACATATGCCCAAGCACAACGCTCTTGCTTTCAAGATGAAGAAACTGTTAGGATGATAGATTGAGGGGAAATGTCTTCCATGAGACATTCTGGTCCCTTCTCTTGGATTTAGGAGGATCAGGTGTTTTCACTCCCACTTTCCAGATGAAGCTTGCAGCTCAAAGAAGTTAAATGGCTTGCTCACGTGGTGGCAGATGCAGAGGAAGAGTCTAGACAGTCTCCTCCATCCCACCCCAACAGCACACACGTCCACCACCCCCATACCACACACACCACACGCCACATACACCACACACACTACACATGCCTCATGCCACACACATAACACATTCATCACATGCATATGCACCACATACATTACACACGCCATACACACACCACAGCACACATCACACACCACACACTCATGCACCACACACACTACACGTGCCACACACCACACACCACACACCATACAACTACACACCACATACATCACACACTCACTACACACCACTCACCACACACCACACACACCACACAGCACACATCACACACCACATGCACCACACACACTACATGTGCCACACACACCACACACACCATACAACTACATACCACACACATCACAAACCACACTCACCACACACCACACACACACCACACAACACACACCACGCACAGCACATACACACCATACACATCACACACTCGCCACATACCACACACCACATGCACCACACACACTACACATGCCACACACACCACACACCACACATACCATACTACATACCACACACATCACACACCACACACACCACACACTGACCACACACAGCACATAACACACCACATGCACCACACACACTACACGTGCCACACACCACACACTCACCACACACACCGTACAACTACACAACACACACCACATGCACCACACACACTATACGTGCCACACACAGCACTCACCACACATACCCATACAACTCTACACCACACACATCAGACACTCCACACTCCACACACCACACACCCATCACACACTATACACACACAACACACATATACCACACACACCACATACCATACACATACACACACACACACACACCTTTCTCAGGGCAGAATCCCAAGATCAGGGTTCTTGATTTCCAAAGACTTCTCTCATGTGAGCCTAAGCTAAGAGATTGTTTCTGAAGATCATAAAAGTAATAATATCTTCTAAATAGAAAGCATTTTCACATAATATGAAATGTGCATTATGCTTCCTGAGTACTTACTACATATCAGGCATTCTGCTGTGGCCTTATCTTTATTCTTAGCACCTCATTTAAGCTCTCAAGTACCCTGTGAGGCAGGTACTATTATTTCTGATTTTAGATGAGGAAACGGAAGTTGAATGAAGCTAAATTACTTGCTAAAGGCAAGTTCATAAGTGGCAGAGCCAGGTGTCAAACCCAGGGTGCCTGACTGAAATCTAAGCACGTGGCATTGTGCACCCTGCCTGGTTTAATCGTCCTGCAACCCTTGAGGTGGAGATGGGGCTCCGGCCTGGAGAAGCTCAGTGGCCGAGCTTGTGCCTCCCTAGGAGTCCGGACCTCCCGTTCCTGGCTGCCTCCACCCCACTGTGGTGCCTCTCATCACCCTGACTGTTCTTCCCCTGCAGTCTCAGGCCAGCCCGTCTCCCTGAAGAACATCTCCACAGACACATCAGGTTACTACATCTGCACCGCCAGCAATGAGATGGGGAGGGAGTCCTGCAACATCACGGTGGCCGTCAGACTTCGTAAGAGCAGCCTGGGAAGGGAGGGAGGACAAAGGCCACAGGATAACTGGTGGGGGTCCAGAGTGTCAGCTGAGACCACCGGGAGAATGAATCATGGAGCCTCTCTAGGGCCACGTACCTGCAGGGTGACCTAGGCAGGATGACTCTGTCCCAGGCTCCCCTCGCTCTGAGGCCAGTCCAGTTCCACTGGTTTTTGGAAGTGGAGCATAGGACCAACTTCTAGGACTGAGAGGCTTCCTCAGTCCAACCTGCCTGAGAGCCACTGAGGGGGCATGGAGGAAGTGCCGAGAGCCGGCTGCCACAGAGTCTAGACCACGTCCTTTTGGGGTGAGACGTCATGTCTAGCTCAACGAGCTGGCAAGGCTGACACCTGAGGACTTCTGCAGAGCCAGGGTGGCCCAAAGAGTGTGAAGATGTGAAGTATCTTCACATCTCTGTCTGCACCTCCATCCTGAAGAGTATTCCTGGATCATGGCTGGTCACATCCCTACAAGACCATGCCTTCCATGGAGTGTTACCAGGAGCTGGCAGCTGCTGCTCCCCTGGCTGGGAGGAGCACCGGAGCCAGCTTCGAAGCTCGGGAAGTGCAGCTGCTCTGTCCTCTTGCAGCCTCCATGAACGTGGCCCTGTATGTGGGCATCGCGGTGGGCGTGGTTGCAGCCCTCATCATCATTGGCATCATCATCTACTGCTGCTGCTGCCGGGGGAAGGACGACACCGACGAGAAACAAAGGCCGTGAGTGTCTGGGCTGCAGCCTGTTGCAAGGGTCTAGGGAGATTGAAATTACGCATCCCAACTCCTCACAGCCTCTTCTATTCGCTGCACCCCTGGGCATATCACCCCCATTTTGTGCTAACAAAAGAATGACCTGCCCAAGCCATAAAATGTGCATTGCAGCCCCAGGCCCTGCCTCCCACGCCTCTGGTTTCCAGTCTGGGAGCTCAGATCCAGCCTCTCCGGGCATGCCCAGAGCCAAGTGTGGCCTGCAGCCTCTGTCAAGGGGCCAGTCCTTCCTGGGCTGCTAGAACCAGCCTGTTCCTGTACCGCCCTCAGCTCATGCGTGGAACAAGTCTGTGGCTCCTTCACTCTCAGCCCAGCCTTTCAGCCCAGTGTCCTCTGCAGCTGGTGGGTGGGGAGGAGGTCTGGAGGCTGCTCTTCCCATGAGGCCCAGCTCCCTCGGGGGTCCACCTCAGAGCAAATCCTTCCCCTCTGTCCCCTGCTGCCCTGCAGGAATCCGGAAGCCTATGAGGAGCCGCCAGAGCAGCTGAGAGAACTTTCCAGAGGGAGAGAGGAGGAGGATGACTACAGGCCACAAGACCAGAGGAGCATGGGGCGTGAATCCCCAGACCACCCCGGCCGGTGACGGGCCGGCAGCGGAGGGCAGCAGAGGCAGGGTTAGGACTTCATTCCCTGGCTTCCTGGCCTCCTTCTCTCTAAGCCCCATTCTCCTGTCCCTCCATCCCAAACATTGATGGGGCATTTCTTCCCCTCTGTCAGCTGTGAGGAACGTGGCTGGCCTAGTAAGGGGGTCTTTCCTGTGACTGACCCTGCCAACCTTGCTGTCCTGTGAAGTGACTCCTCCTGTCTGTGATACCTGGTTCAGGGCCTGGCCCTCACTCGAGACAAGGCTGCAGCCTCCACTTCCCCCATAGTTGGCAGGAGCTCCTGGAAACACAGCGCTGAGCATGGGGCACTCACGCTGAGAACTCTCCAGGGAGGTGATGCCAGCTGCGGGGGGGGGGGAGCTGCCCTGCTTACCTGTGAGCCCAGCACCTGGAGGGGCACCGGCAGAGGGTCTGCACTCCACATATTTTTGTTGAATGAATGAAAGAGTAAGTATGCTTGGGCCCTGCATGGGCCTGGCCTCCAGCTCCCACTCCCTTTCCAGCCTCACTTCCCATAGCTGCCAGTATGTCCCAGACCCTCCTGGGAAGGCCACCTCCCACTCCCGCTGCACAGGCCCTGCGGAGCTTTTGCCCACACACTTTCCCTTTTTGCCTGTCAATGTCCTACCTGTCCCCCCAGGCCCATCTCAAATCACAAGGATTTCTCTAACTCTATCCTAATTTTCCACATATGTGGAAACAATGCTGTCACTCTGTCCCACAGCCAATCATGGGCCACAAGACACAGTCCTCTGAGCGAGTGCCTCTGGCTATATTAGAGCACCAGCTCCTTGGGGCAGGGCCTGGGCCTCATAGCTTTTGCTTTCCCTGAAGCCCTAGCAGCTGGCGCCCATCCTAGTGGATGTTTAAGCTTAATTGGGGAAACTGCTTTGATTGGTTAGGCCCTCCCTTCTCTGATCTCCCTGAGATGACTGTGGATGCAAGGATGACTCCCACCCAAACACACATGTTCATTCAGTAAGTTAAATAGGAATTGATTTAAAGTGAACACACACCAGGAGCTTACTTGCAGAGTGTCTAATTCCTCTCCAGGCCAGAATAACTGGCTGGGTTCCTGGTTGTTCCTGCGTCGGATACCTCAGCCCTGGCCCTGCCCAGCCCATTCGGGCTCTGGTTTTCTGGTTGGACTATCCTGCTGCCCTCTCTCACCTTCCCTCTGCTTGTCAAGCATTTCCCCTACTCTTGAGAGCTCAGGCAGCGTTAGACCGCGTAGGTCCCAGGGCCCAGTGGCTGGTCTCACCCAACTGCAGTTTACTCTTGCTGTCTTTTCTGGATGATCAGAAAAATAATTCCATAAGACTATTGTCTACTTGTGATTTTTTTAATGTGTATTTTTATATATATTGTTAAATCCTTTGCTTCATTCCAAATGCTTTCAGGAATAATAAAATGTGGGTGAAAATTCTTATTTCTTTTTTAATGTGGATTTTGTTTGCAGTAAGATAAAGCTTGGGTCTCATGGGTCTGTGTCTACTCAACCTAGCACTCTTCTGCTTCCTAGGAGAGGTGAGACAAGGTAACTGAGTTGAGAATCGTGAGGTCCCTCTGCTTGTGGCTGCAGTAGGGTCAGGCAGTGCCTCTAGTGGTTGTGGGAACAGGACAGATTCCTGCCTGCTAGTGGAGGTAAATTCCAGGAGCCTGCGGTGTCAGGACCTGGCAGGCCTGGGCGTCAGTCCACATGCTTGAAGGAAGACGGTGGAGATGCTCTAGCCAGTTCTGCTCCCTATGATGCCCCTCCTGAGAGAGGGGAGGAGCAGTCCTCTTGTTCTGTCACAGAGCACAGTGACACTTCCTCCTCCAAAGCAACTTGGCTCCGCCATCGGTTTGTGGCTTTGACGCTGACCTTCCAGAGAGACATTCAAGGTCTGTTCCTCAGTGTCCTTTCCTGTGGGGCTCTGTACTCCCTCCTGTCCCAGCGCTTGTCAGGCAGCACTGTGTGCCTATTTCACCTGTGTACAGGTCTGTCTCTGCCTCGGCCTGTACCTTCCTTATGGCCTGGCACGTGTTTACCCTTGAAAAGGTTTGTTAAATGAATAAGGTTTGATGTCACAGTATCTTGCTGCAGGACATCTCCTGGCTCTCTAGCTACTCTGAGGTGCCTTCCGGTTCTCACCATGCAAGGTTCCACAGCATGTTCTTGAGGGAGCCATGGAAGCAGAGGCAGCCACCGTCCCCCAGGTTTGACATGACTTCTCTCTGCCCTTCAAAGGACTCTGAAGGTTCACCTGCTTTAGCTCCAGGCTTAGGGAAGAAAATGAGGGAAATCAAGACCCACTGCACTAATTCAACAACAAATATTTTTCACACCTCTACTATATGCCAAGTAGCGTGCTGGTTGCAGAGTATATACAAGTCACTAAGACACTATTATCCAGAAGGAGCTAAAATCTAATGGAGGTCACAGACATAGAAACATAATTATGTGAGCGAGAGAAGGGGCTACTGTAACACAGAGGAGGGCCTGAGTAACTCAGCCTAAGGGAGTTCAGGAAAGCTTCAGAGACGAGGTGGCATTTGGGCTGCATCTTGAAGAAAAATGAGGAGTTTTACAAGAGGCAAAGGGCTGGTGCTGACTTTTCTTCTGTCCTCCAGTGCGGGTTTCTATTACTTGGGTGTCAAATCACATTATCACTCGGTAAGACTACAGTTTCCTGCTGAATTTATTTCAGTCCGCAGACTCTGGGAATCAGACAGTTGTAGGTTCTTACACAATCAAAATTAGCCCAGCAATACACTCTCCTTAGAATGTCAAGCATCCCTTCCAAGTATGGTTTCCGGCTGATGGTTCAGAGACTTTCCGGTGTTTTAGAAGAGAGACAGAGCCTGCCCACTAATTGAGGGGCGATTGTGGACTAGGCACTTGAGACAGTTTCTCATATAATCCCCACTTGCAGTTTCCAATATTTGGGCCTATGTCAACGCTAGGTTATCACCTAAGGAGGGACTCTGGCTGCCCAGAGAGGGCCCCATGAGGTAATATATAACTTGGTAAATTAGCCACTCTTCAGGTCTTGTTTTTTAATTATTTATTTATTTTAAATTGTACTTTAAGTTCTGGGATACATGTGCAGAACATGCAGGTTTGTCACATAGGTACACATGTGCCACAGTGGTTTGCGGCACCTATCAGTTTGTCATCTAGGTTTTAAGCCCTGCATGCATTAGGTACTTGTCCTAATGCTCCCCCTCCCAAGGGGTCTTGTCCTTAAGCTGCTTTTGTGACACAATGACTGGGCCTCAGCTCTCAAATGCAGAATCACATTAACCAAGCTCACAGTGCGTGATGTACAATGCTTATAGCAGCAATACTTGCTCTGGGCCAGCCACTGCTCTAGGCACTTTGCATAGAACATCTCATAATCTTCATACTACGAGATAAGTGGTATTATTCCCATTTTACAGATAAGGAAGCTAAGACACAGTGCAATGTTGACATTGGATCAACACAGAATGTCAGTTTGCTACTTATAGCTGTCAAGCAGACCAGCTTTTCAGTCCACCTGACCCAGGCCATCTCACGCCACGAGCACTATGCCCTCAGTTGCTTACTGAGCATGGAATCAGAACAAGAGAAGTCGGCTACCATCAAGGAGCTCTCATCCTCGATGGCAGTTTGTATAAGTAGGTATCATATCCCCTGTGGAAGTTCTGGAAGATTCTCTGGGCTTGGCCCCACCCTTGGATATTCTGGCTTGGGGCCCTGGGCATCTGCAGAAGTGATCCTATTGGTAAGGCCCTATAGAGAGGCCTCTTCGGGGACACTTGGCTATTGAATTTGCTCACTGAGACTGCCTCTCCTCAGGTAGGTTTCCAGAAAGACCCAGCCTGGTTTCTGTCTGTGATGGCCCTTTGTCTGCACTTCCTCAGCTCTCCACCTCATCCCGTCCTACAATCTTTTTTTCTCATGCGTATACTGCCTTTGTATTTGCAAAAACTTTCCTCCAGCTCCAATGAACTCTGTTAGATCTGGGAACTGGTCTTTCCTCTTGAGAGGATACTGAATATTTCTGCTTGGATCTAGGATTTTAAAGTTTATCTCTAAGAGTCAATCCTATTTCCCCGATTTCCATGTTGCTGAGTAAAATTTTCCCTTTAATTAAGATGAGCTAAACTGCTATAAAAGTGGGCTGAAAAGCTATAAGGCTCAGATACAATAGAAGTTTCTTTCTCACACAAGTAACAGCTTTTGAGACAGACTCAGGGGTGGGATCTTCTGTTTATCTCCAACTGTTTACATTAGTGGGTCTTCCATCCTCAAGGGCCTGGAAATTGTCTGCAACCAGCCAGCAGACAGGAAGGAGAGCAGAGCAAAGGTGCAAATGCTTCTTCAGACTTGATCCAGAAGTGACTGCCCTTGATTGTGCTCACTCACCATTGGCCCATTGGCAAGCACTAGTCACAAGGCCACACATTGTACAGGGAAGGCGGGGAAATGCAAACTTGTGACCTTGTCATATATGCTTAGGAGGCAAAACAACTGGCTACTGGCTTCTGCCACAGTTGCCTCATCCTAAGTTCCACAGACCCTCTCCATTTTACAGATGAGCAAACTGAGGCTCAGAAGCAGAAACTCATTGCTAGTAGGTGATGGAATGAAGATTAGATTAATTCTGTCTGATTCTGAAGACCTTGCTCTTTCTACTTGAAAATATTTTCTCCTGATCCTGTGTATGAACAGGATGATAGAATGGGGGAAATGTGGGAGTGGAGACAGAGTTAAGGTTTTTTGTTTTAAATCTGTATATGGCAGTTCTTTCTTATAATACAGGTGTCTCAGGAGTTACATGTGCATTTCTGAATAAAAATATATTGGTATACCTCCTCATGTATAATAATATATGCATTTCTGAAAAACCTTGCAGGAACACAGAGGAAGGCCTGAGTAACTCAAAGACGAGTAACTCTTCAAAATCACACACTCAAACTAATAGGACTTACAGGAAAGTTAGGATTCGAGGAGGACCACATAAAAACCAACCAAACTTTGAAAACCAGCGGGCCTTTGTAACCGGATCACTTTCAAAACAGTAACAACACTCGTGAAAATACAAGTGATGTTAAATTTGGCGCCAAGTCTGTTAGCACAAAATATCAGTCAGTCACCCTTAATGTGGGCACTCATTTCTTCAGAGACCTACTCATCACAATTAAAACATTCCTTGTCTATCTTTATGCCAACACTGCATTGTCTGGATGAGTGTAGGTTCGTGAGATAATCATCTTTCATTGTAGAGTCCTGTTAGTTACTTAAGATTGTTTTGACCAGTATAGATCCTTTGCTTTTCTACATAAATTTAAGAATTAACTTTTACATTTATAAAATATATGCTTACGATTTTGACTGGGATTGCATTTAATCAACAGATCAAGTTGGGGAAACTGACATCTCAATATTGAGTCTTCAAATTTATGAAAATGACATATCTCTTCTATTATTAATTAGGTCTCTTTAATTTCTCTCAGAGGTATTTTGTAGCTTTCACTGTAAAGGTTTTGCAAGTATTTTGTTAAATTTAAAAGTGTTTTATGTTTTTGATACTATTATAAATGAGATTGGCTCTTAAATTTCTATCAGTTTTGATTAATTTATTTTGAAGTTCTGTTATTAGGCACACACATTTAAAATAGCCATGTCTTCCTGTTGAATTGGCTTTCTGTCAATAGAAGAAATATTCCTATTGATCTCTGGTACCTTAATATGACAATGTTTTTATGCCTATTGTCTTTATGGTATTTTTTTCATTATTTTACATTCACCCTGTCTTTGTCATTATATTTAAAGTGACAGACCTATCTCTGTCATTATATTAAAAATCGATTCTTTTTAAAATCCTTTCTGACAATCTCTGTCTTTTAAATTGAAAGGTTTAAGTCAGTTATATGTAATTATTGATATAGTTTTAAAAAGTCTACCATTTTGCTGTTTGTTGTTCTATGTTTTGTTTTGAGTTTTTGTGGTTATAATTCCCTTTTCCTTCCTTATTTTGAGTTAATAAAATACTTTAAAACATCCTATTTAAACTTTCTATTGGATTAGCAATAGTACATCTAAAAGTGTCTATGACATATAAAAGTAGAGAGTATACACTTAACAAATTATTAGTTATACTTTAGTTTTTCTCTCAGGAAAATGGGACTTGGTATATGAACCTTACAGGTTCCACTGAAAGGCTAGAGAATATCTATCTGGCTGAAGGTAGCTGCTGTAGCTCATATAAAAAGCCTGTGTAAGCAGGTCCCTGATCTCTCTCAGCAAAACCTGCCCTCCTTGTCTTGCCCAACAAAAAATAAAGAAAGAAAAATTATGAGAAAATACTCCATTTGGGTCTCAGCATAACTCCTAAAGTCATTGCCATTTTTATGGGATGGGAAATTTACCCACGGTTGCAGAGGAACGATCATGTAGTG